TTGTTGAATAGGGTCGTTATCTATGTTTAGGGTGCCTAAAAGATCTGGTATCGCCGAACCACTAAAACCAGCTTYAGTGTTTTTGAAACATCCCAAGTGACGCAATGARAAGCCTTAAATTAATAGAAAGTAAATTAATCAGTTAAATATGATGAATTTTAATTACTAACGATTGGCGCAAATTTCGATTCCACAACCAAGCAATTATAATAGTTATAGTAATAKTTATTATCAACATTATTCATTACTACATTTGGCAATACTAGTCTAGCGTACCATATCTAACCAACCATCACCGGCCTTACTCCTGGCCCTGGTTGCTCAAAGCCAGATTAGCCGCGCTATGGAGTTAACCCTGGATTAACACTAATCGGGCTTTGAACATGAACAACCCCCAGCCCTGAACCCTAATGACGCATGCGAGCACCAGGAAACAATCAAAACAAGTACCCGCTGTTATATGCTCATTCTATTCTCTTAAAGGGTACCATAATAATTGATTCCTGCCGTTCGCAATAGAGCTGTAAATTAAATTGCATATATTTTTCACGGTGAATGATCAACTTATATAATATACTAACAAATCTTTAGTACTAAYTCGTTTTTTATGTTATATACTGCTGGGCTTTGGGATAAACTTTTATCTAAATCGCTCTACAATGATAGTTTCGATATAATACGAACAATTGAGKGTTACAGAATGCTGATGATTACTAAATAATAGAAGGGCTCATAACGGTGATTAATAGAATAATAAACAACTTTGCTGTTTACGCATCGCAAATGCGTGCGGAAAAGAAGTTAAACTAAACCTAAAACTATTTATTTTATTTCGATATAATATCGGCTGTGGCATACCTTGAGAAGCTTCAGAAYAAACAATGAAAACCTTGAAAGAAATGGCATACAGTTACTATGAATCAAATATACCATGATGGGACAACATACAGTTGTAGACCAGTTGTAATACTCATAGATAGATCAAACAGTAAGACTAGGTTGAGTATATAGGACAAACATTGCATTAATGTAATAATAAATAATTGACAAACAAATCATGGCGTCAAACTTTACCTCAAAAAGTAAGAAGGCAAACATCAAACGTCTAGTCATTGTTTGATCAACTTCAAATTTGTTGTGAGAGTCGACACCAGTAATATTGTCCCAATCTGAGAGCTAGTGAGCAAGCACTAGCCTTTACTGGCAGACTTCAGGAATCGTGTTCCGAAAATCATCCTCATTTAAGGAGTCAAAAGCAGTTTATGTTGAAATTGCTYATTTTCGCACCTTTCTCTGAGTTATTTCAGTAATGACTTAATATTTTGAAAGAAGTCTTTGTCTAAATCAAGACGACAGCGCGCATGGAATGATGCTATTGTTACGTTAATAAAAAATGTCATGGACTAGCAGTTTTGAAAGCAGTTTGTTTTGGTAACCGTGTGATTTGACAGAAATTTAATATAAAAGGTTCTCGTTCATTTACACCTTATATTCTTATGCTTTTTAATYGTAAAATAATTGAGAATGAATCAGTTCCTGTGATCATGACTCAACAGTTAACTTTAGACATTTTTTTTATTAACCATGTTCAACAATTACAATTAATATATTCTTTCGTTTTCCCGGAACCTCATCTGCAAACTCTTTTGTGTATGGTCACTGAAATAGAATATCTGAGATCAGCTATTCAGCAGTCATTTTTTTTTTAATCAAAGCAATCGCAGAGTACTTAAGATATGGGATCAGGGATCAAGATTAGACGTAGAGATCAGGATTTTCAATATTTAAGGGTCACTTGATAAGTCTCCACAACATCAGTCATTTTGAAATCAAGCTTGACATCACTACCACCTATCGTCCGGCTCCAGGCTCCAGGACCGTTTGCGATAGAGAATCCAGTGCATTCAGATGTGTGCTTTCAGTTGTTCGCGCATGATCATTGCATTTMTGCGGTGTCATGATTCAGAAGGCTAGGCTACAATTCCAGTGTGATTGACAAGACCTCTTCGTCGTTCTCAAATAGTTGCAAATTAAATCAATTTGTGCTGCGCACTCGTAGTGTCAAGTAACTTCTTGTTATTTGTGATTACACTCTTTTAAAAAGTTAGGCTGAAAACTTCAGGCTTACAGGAAAAACATTTTTTCTTAGTACTATTTGTAAGGATCCAAGTAGTAGTTGATAACAAAGCTACTGAATCTTGTCATCAAACGCATAGTATAATTATGAAAACAGTTTTTCGCTTGTTACATCTCGACAAGGATATGGATGTGCCCCATTTACACTGGCGATTTTTGCGCCGATTTTTGTTTGAGGTGATTTTGATCCTAGATCGATTTTAATGCTAAAGAATTTCTCAGAGTACTGAATAAAAGTTTACAAGTTTTAACTAAACGTCTCCTCAGAAGGACAAGACAAAAATCTATTGCAGTTTTGAAAATCGCCCAAAAAATCGTCGCAAAATTTGCCACAAACATCGCCAGTCTAAATGGGACTTAACTCATGCATAATGACAGGTCTGAGCCAGGTGCCTGTTTGTTTGTTTTTTAGTTATTTTTTTAGTGCTCTCGATTCTCGATTCTCTTTTGCATGACTTGTCCACTTCGTGTTCCCTGAGATATAACATGAGAACTTCACACAAATGTATAATACGTGATTGAGACTATTGGTTCGTGTTCATTTACTTGGATTTGGATTTTATGTTTAGCGTGGGGGTACGTAAGGTYGTGATCATGGGGCTTTTCGGCGTTGGTTCAACCCACCCACTGAGTAGATGACCAAAGTTCATGTCCTTTTTAAAACCAATATTGACATGAATGCCGCGCGTTTTGATTTCGATTAAATCTAATTGATTCTTCGCCTATAGAGTCATGTGTCGTTTTGGCATTTTCTTAAGGTTACAGTGAAAAACATTCCGAGATAAAATGCTGTTTTTTGAGTGGCTGGAGTGCAAGTTAGTTGTATATACAAATGCTTGAAAAAAAAAAAAAGATGAAATGTGATGGGAAGTTGTAGAAAAACCACTAGACGGAATTCCTATAGGAAAATCACAAACTTAAGAACTATAATATTCAATTTCAGGCGTCAAAAAGTGGTTTGAAGTGTATTT